TCTTTTTTTTAATAAAAGAAGAATTAATGTATATTTCATGAACATTATCTCAACTTTTGAGGTCTATTTAAGGTAACACTTAGCTAAATTGTATATCTTCACACAAAATAAAATAGTTTTAGTTCCAAATGTATTCTTGATCTTCTCAATCTTTATGCAGAAATTGTTTTAAAAAAAGCACTCCCAAAACCCTAGTGCACTTCAGTCTTAGTCTTATCTCACATTGGTTCCAGAATGACCTACCAGTACCAACAATGTGAAGTAGAAATTCCTGGACACCAAAAGTGTTTTTTTTCTTGGTGTACTATGGTAAACTGTTCTGCATTCAGTTATCGCCAAAAGCATCAATATCTTTAAATTACAAATATTATCTGTCCATCCGAGAATGAAACAGTTGAAAATTAATATTGTTGACCATTAAGCAATTTGATTCGAGACAACCAAGGCAATTGGTATTAGTGAGAACGGATCATTTATACTATTATTATAGAACTGTTCTCACAACGTTCGTTATTTAGTTGTGTCAATGGTTATTCCTGGTCCTGATCTAGACCAAAAAAAGGAACATTTTGTAGCATCCTAATGTAAACACTCAAAAGGAATTTCGCAGCACAAAACATTTTTGAAGTAGGAATTGAAAATTGAAGAATCAAACACAAACTAGCAGTTGGGGTTGTAATTTAAAATGGCATATCTGTATAATCTACAGGATCTATTTTGAACAAATTATCCTGCTTGCTAACAACTGTGAAAAGTTATTTACAGAAAGTTACTGGTATAAATAAATGAATAAAAAAACAACACACTTGATGGTACACCTACACTGATGTTCTACTTCACTTTCATTTGAACTTTAAATATTTTAATTATTTAACATTCAAGCTAGACAAATTACAAACATAAGACTTGTGGGTTGTCGGTGGAAATTGTTTATTTTTTTTAAAGCATTCAAGTAAAACAATAACAGTTATACCTATCAGTGGCAGTCTCAGCATCTCTAGATTGTTAGAACAAATAGGGGGAAAACTTACTCAATGGGGGCACATATGTCTGAATTCACAATGCAGCTCTGTTGAGCTTCTAGCCTCTCATGGAGTGTCGAAAAGGGTTCTCTCAAGAAATTTTTTTGAAAAATTGAATTGATTTGATGCATTCTGACACATATTTAAGAGCAAAAGCATATAAAAATCATATTTTTCAAGTTTATTAAAAATAAAGCAAACCATATTTCTATGGGGACAAATTTGTTGCAAATTTCAATCTGGCCACAATTCCAAACTATCTGTGCTGATGATATTTTTTATCTGCAACTTTTGTCAACAGAATAAGATGAGATATGGACAATCATGTTCCCAAAATTAACATAATTTATGAACAAAAGGGATGAACAAAAGGGATAAATAACAAAATTATGATTTCTAACTTTCTAACCAATGGAATAAAAAATGCTATTAAAGTTTAAAAAAAGACTAAAATTTTGTTAAATTCGAGACTCGTACTTGCTCTAGCCAATTCATAATGTTTTCAACCCTTCCAATAAAAATACAGAATTCATTGAAGAAATAAAACCTGTCAATTGGCCATTATATAAATCTGTATTTATGCAGGAGGTAATTTCCCTACTCAAATTTTATTTTATGATGTTGGTGAAATTTTTTATATTTATCCTCATCATTACCAGTAATAATAAAAGTTATATAAAGGTTATATAATAATATAAACAGTAGTTTAATAATCAATTCAATGACACCTAATATATTTTGATAAAAAAATACATTTGCAAATCTAATTAATCTACAGTTTTAACATATGTCAGAGAGTAAAAGTAGTTTTCAAAATTGAGGTTAATTTCGTACTTTTGAAGTTTAGGCATATGACACATGACAGAAAACTCACTGAACAGGAGAAGGAGGTCAGAAATTTAACTATTGTCAGTTCCAGAGTTATGCATTTCATTTCTATAAAATAAAAGTAGAAATATATTATATATAATAAACCTACACTGTTTTCTGAATTAAATTTTGGCAATCATTTTCACTAGTGAGAGTCTTGGATTGTCTATGGGTTGATGAAAATATCATCCATTGGAAAGGTTATTATTTGTAAATATGATTTTACAAAGCGGAATTTTCAGTCTGAAAAGAAGTGTCATTTTCACGTGAATTTTCTGGAAGAGAAGTGTGTCTATTTCAATTGTTAAATCAGTGAGCCTTATATTTCTATAGACCCAGAAGACATTCTAAGACAACTGGCATACAACTGAAAATGTTATTTTGAATATCCATGAAATGAGAAAAAATTCAATTCAAAGCTCAATGAAGTAAGAAATACGCTATGAACTGGTTCAAATTTAATGAGATCTCTCCAACTTTAAGTTTAATTGTTTTCATACCAGTGGAATAATCTGTTATTAAATACTTGGTATATAAATAGATCTCAAACAATAACATCTTCTGTTTTAGGCTAAATGTCATAACGTCTTAACTCCTGCTGATAGTACCATTACAGATGTCATAGGATGTCTAAAATATAGACATGGAGTGGGATGTGTTAATCTCTCATTAATAGTCAATACCAATAGACGTAAATATTTATGACTAACCCTGATTAGGAAGGGCAGGAAGATGACTTATTGAAGATTACCATATATCTGTATTCTGATTGAGATTAGAAACCATGACCACCATTTTTTGATGTAACAAGAAAATACATTGCCAGATCCTTGGCTATGCATGTAAGCTCCAGCTATGCAAAGCCACACCTATTGGATCATTGTACAATGAAATGGAGTGGAAACATTTTTTTTTAGGAAACAATATTTTGAAGCATTTGTGTTTCATATTACATATACAACATACTAGCAATACAAAAAACATCTTCACAATGGCCAAGGTATTACAAACTTTGTATTATACCTTGAATACCAATAGCCACTGTTCTTTGCAGTATTCCCTGGCGTACAATCAAATCAAATCACTCCCTATAAACTTCAGTGATACAAGAACAGTGTCTAAGATAGTCAAGGTATAAAACAAAGTTCTTAATACCTCAACCATTATGAAGATGTTCTCTGTATTGCTAGTATGTTGTCTATGTAACTCAAGGCTTGATTAAATCTGCTTCACATTTGAATTTTATCAGCTAGAAAACCATGTCATAATTTCATTTAGTCAAATGAATGTTTTTGTACCAAACAACACCATTCGATCATATGCTATGAATCCAATCAAAAACCAACAGGATTGTGTGAATAATCTCAAATTAAGAAGATGACACATCTATTTATATAATCAATGGTGGTCCAATAATCTTCAATGTTTAATGGTGATTATCAAACCAACAGATTCGATCATTCCATTACATTCAATCGAAGATCAGAAAGCGACAAAAATCAGGCCTTATCAAATTAATAACAAGTGCACACTTTCCAATTAATTAAACTTCAATATCTGCATGTTATCTAGTCACCATGGTAACACATGTGCATTGATAGAGAGAGTCAATGAAGCATTGGCTAGTTGAACAGGTTATAAAATCAACAACTGTTCTGGGCCTGCCTGAAATTAATCCCACAGGAAATGATTATACTATTTTCATGTTGCTATCAAATGGTAGAATAATAATTCTCATCGCCATGGAAATAAAATGAGCTTGAAATGGAACTAAAATTTATTCTGTTTTCTAATGTTCTGTGTAATCTTATTTGATTATCTTTCATAATGGTGGTCTCTTAAGGTGCACAGCTAGAATATTTGAATTTTGGTTATGTTTTCATTATGCTGTGTACTTGAGTTGCACGAGTCAGACATATGTTTCAATTTAATATTTATCATAACAAATAACATATAAATCATCTTTATAAGATATCTCATGTATATCAAATATTTCATGTGTATCAAATATGCCTTTATGAAATGATTTCATGTGTATCAAACATACCTAATTTGATATGTATCACAACATTAAATGCATACTTTCATAAAGATATCATATCTAAATAAAACCTTTGAAGTGTATCAAATACACATCAAAGGTCAGGCCTGAATTGATCTGGTTGTATCTCATGTATTTTACCATTGTGGTAGTGGAGGGTGTCGAGCAAGAAGCTTACTCTTTTCGAAACACCTGATAGTACTTCTCTTTGGAGTCCACTACCACACAACTTTTAATCTCGATTTTGCCATACTTTGGATGCGATTTTGATTAACGCAATTGTCTTGCTTGTACGGACTTTTTAATACAAATTTAATTTCAAATGCACCATAAATATGACTTATATTAAAGATTTCGTAATGAATAAGGATTTCAATATCACTTGTGTCATATAGATTATCATTTTGAGCTTCATTTCGTATGTATCAAGAGTCATAAATGTATCATAAAGAATCAGACTTTTATGCTATATGTATCATGTGAACCTATTTCATATGTATCACACAGAATTATTCTTTCATTAGATATGTCTCATTAAGAAGATTATGAACTACACTGAAACAGTGCCAAATGACATTTTTTCAAGACATGGAATGAGATGGTGAAAGCAGTTAAATGACCATTACAGGACATAAAAACAAACTAGCAGCTATTATCCACCATGCTGATTAGTCTAATGGACTATTTGCTACATGACAAATTAGGTACAATATACTGCTTTTTGATGTATATACAGATAATGTAGCTTGTAATGGTTATCAGGAAATATTCCAGGTATTATTCCTTGTTTTGAGATATACACAATTTGAATGAATCAGAACGAATCTATGAGGCTATATCGTGGAATAAGGTGTTTGAGGTGATTTTTTAAAACATGCTATTTCACTGTAAAGAAGAATCTGAACCATGTTTTGCTTTTGTATCATCCAATCATTAAGGTTAATTTTAGTTATGTATTGTAGGACTTTATCAGAAGTATGAATTTCTGTGGTTTTCATTATGTGTTATCGACCACTAAGGTAAATACTGAATAGTAGGGATTTTGGATTGCAAGTGAAGAAACTTACTTGAAAATAGGATCAACCACTATTCCTCTCGGTTTTTCTAGTCCACTACTGACCAATAATCTTCTTCCTGAACCATCATAATTAGCTATTTCTACTGTCCTTTTACCAGAATCTGTCCAATAAACATGGTTTGATATCCAGTCTACAGATAATCCATAACACTCTATTACTCCTGAAAATATATAAATTAACATTACAATTTTACAGATTATTTTCAAAATTGTAATAATAATGCTTTTTGAAATAAATGTTTTCTGTAATAATTATGCTATCTGTGGTAATTATACTTTTATGTTTTCTGTAATAATTATGCTATCTGTGGTAATTATACTTTTTATGTTTTCTGTAATAATTATGCTATCTGTGGTAATCATACTTTTATGTTTTCTGTAATAATTATGCTATCTGTGGTGATTATACTTTTATGCTGTCTGTTATAATTATGCTATCTGTGGTAATTATACTTTTATGTTTTCTGTTATAAATATGCTATCTGTGGTAATTATACTTTTTATGTTTTCTGTAATAATTATGCTATCTGTGGTAATTATACTTTTATGTTTTCTGTTATAAATATGCTATCTGTGGTAATTATACTTTTTATGTTTTCTGTAATAATTATGCTATCTGTGGTAATTATACTTTTTATGTTTTCTGTAATAATTATGCTATCTGTGGTAATTATACTTTTATGCTGTCCGTTATAATTATGCTATCTGTGGTAATTATACTTTTATGCTGTCTGTTATAATTATGCTATCTGTGGTAATTATACTTTTATGTTTTCTGTTATAAATATGCTATCTGTGGTAATTATACTTTTTATGTTTTCTGTAATAATTATGCTATCTGTGGTAATTATACTTTTATGTTTTCTGTTATAAATATGCTATCTGTGGTAATTATACTTTTTATGTTTTCTGTAATAATTATGCTATCTGTGGTAATTATACTTTTTATGTTTTCTGTAATAATTATGCTATCTGTGGTAATTATACTTTTATGCTGTCCGTTATAATTATGCTATCTGTGGTAATTATACTTTTATGCTGTCTGTTATAATTATGCTATCTGTGGTAATTATACTTTTATGCTGTCTGTTATAATTATGCTATCTGTGGTAATTATAATTTTATGCTGTCTGTTATAATTATGTGGTCTGTAATTTATCTTGATTTGATCTCATTTTCAGATTATGATTTTGTTATCAAGTATTTGTGAATGTATATTGAAATCTTATGTTTCATAATTCAAAATGAAAATAGATAACAACTTAGTTGAAACACAGATCATTTTCTCTCATGTCATGTCATTTGTAAAATTTCCATGTTGTTTAGAGTCTCCCATTGGTCTTCCATTAAAACTGTATTTAAAGTAAAGAAAACACATGTGTACAAAGCTCGATTCCCGCAATTAATTAACAATTTCATCTGAAATGGAATCTCTATTTCTTAAAATGCTGCAAAAAGTTCTAATCTTAAGAAATGGCTCAAAGGTTTGAAAATACTAAATTTCTAGTAAAATGGCTACTTTTGTCACATCAAAGTACTAAGTTTTTACCAAGAAGCTGACTAATCTGACAATTTGATTAGGTTCGGCACATATTAGGTGATTACCCTGCGCTATAGTGACTCATGTACATCTCTACTGGTCTATAACTAATCACTAACCAGAACATAGCCACGGTTTACTGTCAAAACATGATTACATTGTCTAGGGAATAGAATTATCAGAATTTTTTTTTGTACTGATACAGACTTGTTACATCAATAAGACCATCATATCATATTCAGCGAGTTGATATTACTTTGTTCAAGATGTCTGATGTCCTGATATTGAAAGGTGGACTTTTTTGCAAACAATCTGTCCTGATGAGAGTTTTAAAGCACATTTGGCAACAATATAAGATAAGCTCTTGTCAGTCGAATATTCCTTCTTATGCTGCTGACATAGTTTCGAAAAACAATCCTCACCAGGACTTACTTTTTTTGGAAGAAATGAGGGCCAACAATCCACAATTAGACTATGATCATTCTAAACAAACAAATTATGATGCATTATTAAAATTACAAAATCAATGCATTCAAAAAAATATCTATCATGCGTTGATGTCTTGTTCCAAACCAGATGATTGCGGGTGCTTTCCATGTCAGTCCTTCTGAAGCCTGTCAAAATATTCTATGTTAGAGCTATACTTATGAACACAAAACAAGTGTTTCATTAACAAAAATCACCTCATCATCATTAAAAATAATCAAAATCTGAATCTCATCATTAGCTTAACATGTTAATGTTTTCATCAAATTAAACAGTGATTTGTGGCATGATTGACCTGATTTTTATTCAAAACATTGACAATCATAGCCATTTGACTTCTTAATAATACCAACTTGATCTCTCATGTTTCCTCAACAGTTTTTCTAAATGATCACTGCAATTAATCTAAATGCATGATTCATCATATACTGGCAGGACTAGCAGGAACTACAGGAACCAGGCTGACTATTGATCAAAATGAATCTGAATGTTTTTATGAAATATTAGAAATGGTTATAATAACAGGAATTCCATCAATATTAATAATAGACTATCAGGAACATTACATCTCTCCTGACTGATGTTTATACAATTATTCCATGTATATAGCCTGATATTTCTATAAGTCTGGCCACTGCCATAATTCCATTGCCTCAATTGCCAGTATAGCAATGAAAATTGGACATGATCATTGAATGATAGCCTTACAGACTATCCCCTTGGATTGATCTTCAGATACTCTTATTATCCTATAATATATCTTTCAGACTACTAGTTTTCATAAACTGTTTTTCTATAAAATACAGTTGTCTGGTAATTTGAATTAGAATAAATGTAGAAATATTCTAAAGAATTTATTAAAATTTTGTCTAATGACATTTTGAGGCAAATGAAATGAAGTTTAATGCTCCACATCAGACTTCTAGATTTCATAAACTGTTTTACAATATTTACATTGTTCTAGATTGAAATTGTTTTACAATATTTACATTGTTCTAGATTTCATAAACTGTTTTACAATATTTACATTTTTTCTAAATTTCATAAACTGTTTTACAATATTTACATATTTCTAGATTTCATAAACTGTTTTACAATATTTACATTGTTCTATATTCATAAACTGTTTTACAATATTTACATTGTTCTATATTCATAAACTGTTTTACAATATTTACATTGTTCTATATTCATAAACTGTTTTACAATATTTACATTGTTCTAGATTTCATAAACTGTTTTACAATATTTACATTGTTCTAGATTTCATAAACTGTTTTACAATATTTACATTGTTCTATATTCATAAACTGTTTTACAATATTTACATTGTTCTATATTCATAAACTGTTTTACAATATTTACATTGTGCTATATTCATAAACTGTTTTACAATATCTACATTGTTCTATATTCATAAATTGTTTTACAATATTAACATTGTTCTAGATTTCATAAACTGTTTTACAATATTTACATTGTTCTAGATTTCATAAACTGTTTTACAATATTTACATTGTTCTATATTCTTAAACTGTTTTCGGTTTTTCAATTTTACATTGTTCTATATTCATAAACTGTTTTACAATATTTACATTGTTCTATATTCATAAACTGTTTTTCAATATTTACATTGTTCTATATTCATAAACTGTTTTACAATATTTACATTGTTCTATATTCATAAACTGTTTTACAATATTTACATTGTTCTATATTCATAAACTGTTTTCTGTTTTACAATATTTATTTTGGTGGAGTCCACTGCTACACAACTTTTACTCTTGATTTTGCCATACTTTGGACAAGATTTTGATTAACAGAATTTTCTAGCTTGTACATTTTTTTTAATAGTGACCAAATCCAAGGGGATTGGCTAAGGATCAGCTGGTGGACAGGATCCTTGATAATCTTGTTGATATAGGATGTTTTTTTCTCATTAGAACAAAAGGACACCTAAAAGCAAGAACAAGTTTTACATTTGAAGGGACATCACACTAGAGCTGAGCTCAGCTCTGGATTTCTTCACCAGTTCTTCAACTTACAGGACTATGATAATCATCTTACTATTCTAGACATAAAGACTTCCATCTCAACAGATTATCATAGTGATTTCTAAAAAAAGAGCATTGACATTTTCAGACAAAATCGATCCCAGTTTTTCTACAAAAAAATGTCATTTTACAGTCTGTTTGTTACTGGCAGTGAAATATTTATTTTTATAATAAAACACATTATAGTATCTTTTTATTGCTCTTAAAAATGTTCAATGTCTTTTACTGCGGAATATAAATTGCAGCAGAAATTGAGTTTCTCTTACAACCAGGTCTGATTTAAAGTACCTGTTTACATGAAAGGTTTGTTTCCTATAGTGTAAATCAAAACTGTACAACTCTTCTTAAAGAAGTAGGAAGTACTAGTCCTTGTTGTCAACTAGACCAAATTCTGAAAGAAAATGAGAAGGTCAGTTTCAAGGTATGGAAGTAACCTGTTCTCAAAGTGTTTGCTGCTTACCAATCTATCAAAGTTGTTTTAAGAACAGTTTTGACACCATCTCCTTGAGGTTGACAAGAAAACATACAGATATTGGACTTTTTATATTGTTTTTTCCACTGTGAACTACTTTCCACTTTCCACATGACATTTGCTAAATATAATAATGAAAGCTGGACAGCCCAAGTATTTGTCAGACATGACTGATAAAGATATTAAAATCAACATCACTGAACAAACGTAATAAAAAAAATCTTCAAGTTTATGAGTCATCAAAGAGTCTATTAAGTCTTTAATATGACACTGTAAGGTATTGAATTCAACTGTATTAAGACTGTCATCTAATATGTGACAAAGTGACAATGCTATTGATTATAATTCAGGACATCAAACTGATGACAGTACAGATCCCTAGGGTATCTTTCTACGCTTTGTCTTTGTGCATCTAATGCATATAATCAATAGAAAACAATGCATAATAACAATACCATAATGTATTTAAATAAGGTCAATGGAGATAGGGGATTATAATCTTTATGGCTTTTCAACATGAAATATTAACATAAAAAATATAAAAAGTTACAATTATGTGATATATCATTTATTTCATTTCTAAAAAACCTATAAAATAGAAAATGTTTTACAAGTGAAAATCCATTTATTC